GCTATGCTCAAAGAGTAAAACTAGGGCCAGATTGAAGGGCTGTAGGACCTGGGGTTGTAATTGATTTTCGTTGACTTTACCTGGGATTCGGGGGCTTATCTTTCCCAATTGGAGCCTGTGGGCCTGGGGCTGGAGCCTCAAAAGCCACTATGTTAATTTGGCCCAGAGGTGGCGCCAGGATTTTCCCAACGGGGAGTGAGGGGGGTGGTCAGATTTCCCCGACGAAAGCAAAGGTGGACGTGGTCGAGCTTCGATTAAAGGTCTCGAAAGTGGTGCAGGGGGAGAAGCCCCCGAAAATTTTTTACAATTTAGGGGTTTCAAAGGCTTATTTCATCGATTTTAGAGCCTACTAATAAGTAGAAAATATAACTTTTTTTTTTAATGTAATCGACATGAAACAAGGTGTAGGTCTATCTACAACTCTGCCTGTTCCAGAATGGGAGTTAGGATTGGTAGAACCCAAGAAAAAATCGGGGAAAGTAGGAAAAAATGTTAATGAAGTATTATAATCTCATTGTAGTAATGATTTAATGATTATCTGTATCTTATATATTAAACAAAGAACAGGTTGACACTAGAGAATTGGCGGTGGAGCGTTTCTTGATAATCCTGGCAATGTTTAGTTTTTCTAGTAATGTATCGATCATTAATCGGTCGTTGCGTTTATAAAAAATACATAGACCCAAGTAAGCTCTTGGGCCTGAAAAAATACAAAGAAAAATCCACTTCCACAGCCATTTCCATTTACAATTACGGGCCATATTATTATCTAGTGTTATTGATTATTTTGGTCCATCTTGATGTCACCTTTGAATGCAGTTTGTGCGGCGTTACAAATTTCAGTGCCGCTAAAAACCTCAAATATGGTTGTTTATTATTCGACTGCACCTGATACTCACCTGCAAAACAAAGATATTATTAGTTACTTTCATGAATTGTTATACAAAGTATTATGACATGCACAATACGAATGTCTAAAATGCTTACTATTGGACCCAGAAGAGTACATGTGTTTTTTTACAGCTCGACCAACCCACAATCTTGGAAAGGTCTTTTTTTTCAAAAAAGGGTTTAAAATACTTACAATGTGTGAACGTTTATTGGAATGTAAGTCAAGTAGAAAAAAAAACATAACATATCCAGGTGACTGACAATATTTATACAAAAGTCACTTCTTAAATTATAAATAATAATAATGATAATGATAATAATCTATAGACTTACTGTCTGTTTGAACAACAGAAAATAGGGCTTTTCCCTATTGCTTTAATGAAGTGGAAATTGCAACAAAAAGAAAAGTCGTTAAAAGGTATAAAGTAAAAAAAAAAAAAGCCAATATAATTTTAATTAAGTGGAAAAAAAAATGAAGCGGAAAAAAACAAAAACCAAGTTCACTGCGACGTTATTAGTGAGACTTGAACTATGGCTGCAATGGTAATAGCGAGGTACCTACATTGTGACTCGTAACCATTCCACGCCTTGAATAGGAAAAGTGCATTTTCAGTTCATACCGATTCAATGACTGAAACCAAAATTGTTCATGCATATCACGGTAGTTTTGATTTTAACCTAGCTGTAACTGATTTAAGCGCTTTAGAAAACGCAAATTGCGTTTAAATAATTTAATCAAATGTCAACACAAAATTTTTTAATGGTCCTAACATACACACCCTACTGCGATCGTCACGAAAATTGGATCATTTCTTCATTTCACAATGAAAAACTATTCTGCAAAGTGTAATTTTTATCCATCTATAACTGGGACGTAAGCAAATTAAATGACTCTCAAATTTACACCCTAATCTGGATCGTCCCCTACACGTAATATCTTCCTTGTAACTTAGGTTAAACTTTCCCGAAATTTCATTCGGAGCAGTTGACCCGTTTTTTAAATATCCGATCTGGGATGTTTTCCTTTAAATGGTCCTCATATTCGGGTTTTTACAAGACCTTTACAATGTATCATAGAATGTTTCATTTAGACCCATTGTTTTATTTAAAGAAATATTTAGGTCTGGGTCCTCAAAAATTGAAAAAGACCCTCAAATTTACATCCTTCATTGGATCGTCACTAACACATAAACAAGAACAAAAACAAAAAGCTGAAATTTGGGGAGACC